TTCCCACTTCCATTCTGGAATGGTAAGTGGCTGCAAAAGTCCCGCCGGGTGCTGATGCTCCGCCTTAACTTGTTGACAAGTAAGGCATCGACTCACATATTCCGCGATGTCTCTCTTCATACCAGACCACCAATAACTTTCCTTCAGGTCTCGGTACATCTTTGTACCTCCTGGATGCATAGCATAGGCTGAAGAATGCGCTTCCTCGAGTATGGATTTCCGGAGTTCCTCATTATGTGGTACGCATACGCGATCTTTGAACAATAAAAGGCCATCATCACGTACCCGAAAATCCTCAACGGGTCCCGCAATGATCCGTTCGCGGACCTTCTGACATTCCTCATCAATGCCTTGACCTCTACTGATCTCACTCAGCAACGTAGGTCTAACCTCAAATCTAGCTATGAGCGCCCCACTCGAGGACACTTCCACATGTGTCCGTAACGCTCCTAGGCATGTGAGTAACGTCCCCGACGTACTCTTCCTGCTTAATGCATCAGTCACTACATTGGCCTTCCCGGGATGATAGTCAATGATCAAATCATAGTCTTTGATCAACTCCATCCATCTCCTTTGCCTCATATTCAACTCTTTCTGAGTGAATACATACTTCAAGCTCTTATGATCGGTATAAATGCGACATGTCTCCCCCGTAGAGATAATGTCTCCAAATCTTCAATGCAAACACTACCGCCCCCAACTCTAGATCGTGGGTAGGGTAGTTCGCCTCGTGTTTCCTCAATTGCCTAGAAGCGTAGGCAATAACCTTACCATTCTGCATCAGTACACATCCGAACCCTTGGATGCTAGCATCGCTGTAAATATCATACCCTATCCCCTGTATGGGTAGGGCGAGAACTGGTGCTTCGGTAAGCCTTTTCTTTAGTTCAAGGAATCCCTTCTCACACTTGTCGTCCCATATGAACTTGGCCCCCTTCTTTGTGAGCTTCGTTAACGGAGACGCCAATACGGAGAATTTCTCCACGAACTTACGGTAGTATCCCGCCAAACCAAGGAAACTGCGTATCTCTTTCATATTCTTGTCCATAGCAACGCCCGAACCAGATATGATATGACCAAGGAAGCCAATCTCCTTGAGCCAAAATTCACACTTAGAGAACTTGGCAAAGAGTTGTTTTTCCCTTAGTCGTTCAAGTACAAGTTTTAAGTGATGCTCGCGATCTCCCTCGTTCTTCGAGTATATCAAGATGTCATCAATGAATACAATCACAAATTGATCTAAGTACTCACTAAACACACAGTTCATCAAGTCCATGAATGCTGCCGGTGCATTGGTTAAACCAAATGACATCACTAGAAACTCGTAGTGACCGTATCTAGTGCGAAATGCACTCTTAGGTATGTCACTTTCCTTGATCTTCAATTGGTGATAGCCCGACCTCAAATCGATCTTTGAGAACACCATTGCTCCCCGAAGTTGGTCAAACAAATCATCAATCCTTGGTAGAGGATATTTATTCTTGATTGTGACCTTGTTCAGTTGTCGGTAGTCGATACACATTCTTAATGTACCGTCTTTCTTCTTCACGAAGAGTACCGGTGCTCCCCACGGTGAATGACTAGGTCTAATAAACCCATTGTCCAATAGTTCTTGTAATTGGAACTTCAACTCTTGAAGTTCTGCCGGTGCCATTCGATAAGGAGGAATCGAAATGGGTTTGGTTCCCGGCTCTACTTCAATCACAAATTCGATCTCTCTATCGGGTGGAAGCCCCGGTAATTCCTTGGGAAAGACGTCCGGATATTACACACGACACGTACATCGTTGATGTCGACCTACTTCTTTGTCTGATCTACCACGTAAGCAAGGTATGTGTGGCAGCCTTTCTTCATCATCTTCCGTGCTCTCATCACGGATATGATACAACTTTGAGATCTCCCTCGATCTCTCTCAAATTGTAGGGCGTTTCCCTCATCATCCTCGAGTTCTAAGACCTTGGTGTAACAATCAACTCGAGCATGATGCTTCTCGAGCCAATCCATCCCTAGGATCGCATCAAACTCCAGCATACTTAGAGGTACGAAATCACAAGTCAAAGGTTGACCCGTCACTTCCACCTCACATGATGGATAGTAATAATTCCTCTCCACGTCGTCTCCTAACGGTGTGGAGACTAGCAAAGTTTGCGTCATTGGTGTCAATGGCACGTCAAGACCTTCGGCGAACGCTTCACTCACAAATGAGCATTGTGCCCCGGTATCGATGAGGATTCTCGCACTCCTACCATTAATCATTAAAGTTCCTACATTTATACGCCATGTAAGATACATCTTCTAATGTCTTTGGACCCCTTTTTGGAGGTTATTACGTTTACATTAATGTCTGGGATCAAATGGGGATCCGATCACAGAAGAACGGAGCGAAAAACGTTTTTTTGTCGGAAATGGGGTACGCACGCGTGCGTTCTTTCCCACACACGCGTGCGTGGGTGGCAGTAGGGTAACAGAGTGTTTTAACGCAACGAACGGCGCCGGTTGGCCCAAAAACGGGGGACGCACGCGTGCGTCCCTTCCGACGCACGCGTGCGTGGGTGCCAGTAGGGTTTTGGACGCTAAGAACGGCGCCGGTTGGCTGGGAACCGGCGTCGGTTGCCCCCTGGGCAGCCTCTCCGTTTAGTTTTTGCTCCTTTTACTTAGAAACCGGCCGGTAAGGTCGACGACCGGCCCGTACAACCTCGCTATCGCTTCTAACACGTTAATACACGTATTTTATCAAGCATTAGCAAGGGATTACCTGCAACGGAGTCGGAGTTGGCCGGAGCATCGGCCTCGGTCATCGCGTAGACCCTTGCTTGGGCCCTGCCTTTGGTTAACGGACGCGGCATGGCTCGTTGATGCACCACCTCTTTCCGTGCCTCCGTTTGACGGCCCTGTACGGTTTCTGCTCGTCAAGGCATCTCCTCCGAACCCGTGTATCAATACAAATAACCTCTAAAAGGTTATTTTCCGACGAACCGGTCGTTTTGGCTTCTAAGTCCGTTCTTGGACTTAGAACCACCTTCCAAACCATTATTCCACACCTTTATCATGTAGAATAATCCTAAAGGTTCTTCATATGATATACATTTCATATGGTAGAAGAAAAAGAGAAAAAGTTATGATAAGGTCATTACCTTAATCCTTTCACACTTTTAGTGTTTTAGCTCCTTTTCTTGAGATTCCTTCTTGTAAACTCTCTTCAACAATGGAGAAGGAGGGTGGGGAGTTTCTTTGCTCTTGTTGGGTGCAGGCTGGCCTAAATGAGGGGGATGGAGAGAGATGAGGGTTCCTTTTGTCTCATTGAACAAATGAGTGTGGATGTGATCAACCTCATTTTTGTTTGATGCTTTTTCTCTCAATTCACAATCCTTCCCCCATTATTTCCTACCTTACCAGCCGGCCAACTCCATAATTTGAGTGGCCAAATTCGTGGGTTGGCCCCCACCCATGTGGGAGGTCAACCCTTTTTGTCCAGAAGTGTACAATCGGTCTCGAAAGTTGTATTTTTCGAACTGTTTAAATTATATTTTATTTTATCGGGTCAAATAAAATATAATTTGTGTTTCCCATCATTATGGACTTTTGGAATGAGTATTCATTCCCCAACTTTAATTTAGACGTCCCCGAAATCCGTTCCGGGCTGTTATCTGATAAATTACCGATATCGGTAATTGGGCCTCGTTTGACCGACGGGTCAACCCTATGCCCTTCCTATGGCCCAACTAAAATATCTACCACCATATACATATTATCTAGACCAAGATGAATATAATATGTGGTCCCGAGTTTATCGGGTGGTCCCCGCTCCCGATGTGGGCCCCACGTGCAATTCACTATTCACGCGAACGTAATAACAAAAATTTACAACCTCGTAAATTCACGAATCATTATTCAAGGTTTATTACATGATTTACTAAAAGTAAATATATTTGGGGACGGTGTTACAAATCAAATCCCAGAATCTTTTCCCCCACTAGGTGTCTGTCTGATATCCAACGGATCAACACACCGTCGCAGGGTTGCTCTAATACCATTTGTAACACCCCGGCCCCGTAGTCCCCGAGGTAGTTACTTCTAACCTCTAGTACTATCCTCACAAACCGTCACTAGCCTTTTCCGCGCACTTTGTCCTCACTTGTGCGCGCCCAGAGAAACTTCCTAGGGGGTCACCCAACCCAAGACTACTCACGTGCAAGCACGCTTAACTTTGGAGTTCTTGGCTAATGAGCTCGCTTAAAAGGAGATGCACCTTGTTAGTATGAGTAGTACTATTAATCCATTTAAATTAAATCTCAAGTATTACAAAACATCATCTTCCATCAGCGCCACTATCTTAACAATGTATCAAGCGTCTCCACTTTAACCTTCAAACTGACGAAGTGGTCTTCATTCAAACTGGCGAAATGGCCAGCCTTAATAAACGGCGAAATAGCCGCCCTTCATAAATGGCGTCAGCAAGGCTTGGTATTCACACGAAGATCGACAATCAGCTTAATGCTTTAGATCAGTGTCACTAACCCAACGAAGGGCCCCAAGCGACACCGACGATCGGCAATCGGCCTAATTCTTCATATCGGTGCCACTAGCCCAACGAAGGGCCCCAAGCGACACCGACGACCGGCAATCAGCCTAATTCTTTAGATTGGTGCCTCTAACCCAACGAAGAGCCCCAAGCGACACCGATGACCGGCAATCGGCCTAATTCTTTAGATCGGTGCCACTAGCCTAACGAAGGGCCCCAAACGACACCGATGACCGGCAATCATCCAATTCTTTAGATCGGTGCCACTAACCCAAGGAAGGGCCCCAAGCAGCATCGACAACCAACAATAGGCCTAGCTCCCTCCTCTTCAATAAATGGCGCCATGATGAAATCAATTGAAGTAGCATAATAGTGGGCCTCATTATTTTTAAGTAGCCCATTTGGAGCCCAATTGATGAAGCTAGCCCAAAAGACCAATATATATTGAAATTAGTTTCTCAATCTCCCTGGTCATCTTCTTCACACGCAGGCACCAGAAGAAAAGAACACCAGAACCCCTTTGAAGCTCCTGCCGGACCGCTACAAGATCCTGCCGGACCGCTACAAGCTCCTGTCGGACCGCTACAAGCTTCCGCCGGACCGCTACAAGCTCCTTGAATTTCTCTCCACTGCGTCAAAAAATTTATGGCATCCAAGCATCTCCTCGTAAATCAAAGAAGCAAATCGGTAAAGAAAATCAACGAAGCTAGTCAACAAAGGAAATCAACAAAGCAAATCAACCGAGCAAATCAACAAAGCAAATCAACCGAGCAAATCAACTATATTCCATACCATATTATTACTTCACGAAAAGGTTCGCCAAATTGACTTTTCTTAGTCAATAGTAATCAATTTTGACTAATGATATTTTTTAATATGAAATTATTTAGAATCTGAAAATTATATCAAATTGTTCCTTATTCAAAATATTTCCATAAAAGTATAAAATTTATAAATTATATAAAAATATAAAGTTTGAGATATTTAAATTACATTTGCAGGTTTGGAGCGTTTATGTACACATGTTCAAAGTGGGGTATTTTAATTATTTTTCCCAATTAATTAACTTCCCTGTAACTTATTTCTCACTAGAAATCAGACAAAACGAAATGATATTCCAGTGAAAAAGATCTTTCATGTTTCCCCCAGAGTTTGGTTCTTGCTGTACGCATCGGCGTGAATCGCAGATGTCGCCGCCCACTCAATGAATCCGAATCGGCCAAAGTTTAGATTGCCGCAGCTTTCGACTTCTCCAAAGTTTGCGAACAATGTTTCCTTCAAAACGTCAATGAATTCGAACCTCAAAATGCCTAGGAGATCACTCCTTAAACCAACCCTAACCCTCGTCATAGTCATTTCCATCTTTGCCCTCTACGCCTTCTTTAATTCCTTCATCTTCTCTAAGCCGCTGGCCGTCAACAATGGAATCGGCATTTTGGGTTCATCAAGCAATGGAGAGTATTTCGAGGCGGAACCACACGTATCCGTTAAGGTTTATATGTACGATCTGCCAAGGGAGTTTACCTATGGGGTGATTGAGAGCTACAATTTGGCCCGAGGAGGGGAGAAGCTAAAAGAAGACTCTTTGCTCAAGTACCCGGGTACTCAGCATGCGGCCGAATGGCACCTCTTCACAAGCCTAATCATCAGGGATCATGGCCGGATGGGGTGGTCCGTCATTCCTGTGTCCGAACCCGATCAGGCCGACCTCTTCTATGTGCCCTTTTTTTCTTCCTTGAGCCTTGTTGTTAATCCTGTGAACCGGCCGCGTTCAGGGGACGGGCCTGTGTATAGTGATGAGAAGATGCAGGTAGGATTTTAAGCTGCCCCGAATAGTTGATCTTTTTAGCAGAGTAGTTTGCCTCATATAGTGATTTTTACTGGTAGTTTAGTTCTTTTTATAATGCTCTTTTAATACTAGAAATATGGAATGCATTAAGCTGTGCTGACAGTCTGGCGATGAGTAGTTTGAAGTTAATTTTATGATTTTTTTGGATGATTCAGCTCATTTGGCTTTTTTCAACCTAAATGTACACTCACGGCGAACTTTCCCTTAAATCAGTTTAGTTTATGTTCTCTTGGTGTTGTTATTGTCATATTTATTTTATCTTTTCAAGATATTTATTATTTCCTATTGGGAATGTGCAGGATGCTTTGATTGAGTACTTGGAACAACAAGAGTATTGGAATAAGAATAATGGCTGGGATCATGTATTCATATGTCAGGATCCGAATGCCTTGTACAAAGTTGTGGATAAGGTGAAGAACGGAGTGCTGTTGGTATCAGATTTTGGTAGGTTGGCTCATGACCAGGCCTCACTAATTAAGGATGTCATCTTGCCTTACACACATCGTATTAATACATATAAGGGAGATATCGGGATTGAAAATCGCAAGACACTGCTTTTCTTCATGGGAAACCGGTATCGGAAAGAGGTAGCCATCACATTCATACAAATGCCTCACAACATGGAAGATGATAAAATTTTATCCCACTGAAGTATTAATAATATTAGTAATGAAGTAAGTTTTGGCTACTCAATGGTATCAATTTGGCTGGTATCTGATTTGGATACTACTGTTGATACATTATGTTTTCATAACCAACTCTATGTCCCCATAAGTGGTGACCTGTGATAATCTGCTGATCATATGTTTAAGACATAAACTTCTCTGTAAATGGTTCAACCTGCAATAAAGTTGTGATAACCAACTCTCTTTTTTTATGGCTTTAGCTATGGTATTTTTAATTGTTCTCAATAATGACATAAGCTCATTTTATTTATATTGCAGGGAGGAAAAATTCGCGATTTGCTTTTTCAAGTTCTTGAGAATGAAAATGATGTTATTATAAAACATGGTACTCAGTCTAGGGAGAGCCGTCGTGCAGCATCCCATGGAATGCATACTTCAAAATTTTGTTTGCATCCAGCTGGTGACACGCCATCTGCTTGCCGTCTGTTTGATGCTATAGTGAGCTTGTGCATTCCTGTCATTGTTAGTGACTATATTGAGTTGCCCTTTGAAGATGTCATCGACTACAGAAAGATTGCAATTTTCGTGGATTCGGGCACAGCGGTTAAGCAAGGGGCCTTGGTTGAAATTCTGAGGGCACTGAGCATGGAGAACATTTTGGAATTTCAAGGAGAGTTAAAAAAGGTATTTTCCCTGAATGAACTGCTATCCCATTTCTCATATTTGTAACCTTTTACTTTTGCTCTGTTTGTTTGCTTGCTTGTTTTATGCTTGTGTCAGGTTGTAATCCATTTCATGACTCCTTAGATAAAAAGGAGAAAATGTTTGGTGTGCTAGATTTTTTTTTCCTTTTGGGAAGTCGATGCAAATATTCAATTTTGAAGAATTAAAATTTCATGGCTCTGTATTTAAGATTTTACTAATTCTTTGCATACTATACTAACAAGTTTCCATTAGTTGCCACTGCAAGCGAATGTTAGAATTAGAATACCACATCTCCCACCAAACCATACAATTTGTTGTTCTTCTGCATTCACCCTCGTGTGTTCACACTTTGTTTCCTTTATCTAATTATTATGTGTTCTAGGTTACTTTTAATTTCGTACATTTGAAATTTAAAATATTTAAGAGCTTTTGTTTCTCATTAAATTATCAGGCTACCTGACACAAGGACCTGAACATATTAGTAATATGTGATATTAAATCGTTATGTGTCCTTCACTCCATGTCTCCCGAACTGAATTCTTTTTATTTTCTTTTTTCTTCAGGTTAAGCATTATTTTGAATACGAGGACCCGAACGGAACAGTCAAAGAAATATGGCGTCAAGTTTCATCAAAGTTACGACACATCAAATTGATGATCAATCGTGATAAGCGACTTGTGAAGAGGGAGTTGAATGAACGCCTGGATTGCTCTTGCCTTTGCTCTAACCAGTCGAGGATTCATACAACATTCTGACTGCTTGTTTTCTACATTTTATTCATTCGTTCGTGTGACTGTTATACGTTGGTGGCTCAGTATAAGACTATAAGATACCCAAACGTTGTAATTGCAGAAAGGTATAAAAAGTTAGGAGCAATGTTATGATGTATATTCACGGTCTGTGCATTATGTTACCGAGAGTATTGTAGTCTATTGTAACTGGCGGAATGTAATATGTGAAGGAAATTGAATAAGGAAAATAGCCCTTCTGGTATTTTCGTTGTATCCACTGGTTAAGGAGAAAATAAAATGACCTTTCCCGTTCCTTTCCAGTTTCCCCACGAGATTAGTCGATTTGATCTTAAAGTTGCAAAATCCTAACCGGCAAATTGGCAATGCATTTATGCAAATGTCACCTACCAATAATTAAAGAATATCAATCCTAGCTGAATAATTCTGGCTCCTCTTCATTTTTTTCTCTCCATTTTTCCTCCATTTCTTTTTTACTTCCTATCTATCTCTACCTTTTTCTCTATCTTACTTATCAACCTACCCCATCTTAAATTTTCTCCTCTCTATATCTGTCCTAATGGAACTCTCCAGTCACGGGAGAAGATCCAAATTCCAATTTTTTGGGCTTGGTCCTACCCGGCTGCATTGTTTTTTTAATTGAATGGGTGGTCTTGTCCCGAAGCCTGGCTTGGTACCGGTACTGCTTGGGCCTGACCTGGTACCGGTACAAACCCAAATTGTTATTGGGCCTGCAATCCTTTAGCCGGAAGCTCACTCAGTCCCATCCCGAAGCCCGTCCCGGTGCAGTCCCGGTCTATCCCTAGCTAAATTGTCTACCTCTTTGAAACTTTGACCTTGTTAGATACGTAGTCACATACTTGAGCTTTGATTGAACGTGATACACTGATACCCCTCCCAATCTCCACCGTCCTTCAAAAGCGCACAATTTTTAGAAATTATTATCTTTACGATTTTCATATATATAATTTTATGTTGCGATTATATACATTACAACTACACACCTTAGAATGAATTATTATAATCATTATCATTCTATTTACTAAAAGATGGCACGGAAATACTTTTTGTCATTGCCTATGCATGACGCATGTATACATTTTATATTATATTTACTTATTACTAATATTATAAAAGTTTTTTTCTTAAATTTAACAGTGTTACCCCATGACTTTATTTTATTAATTATATATAAGTTTTACATATCTTTATATTTATAAATTTATGTTTCCGTTACATATAGAGTTGGACTCGGGTCGGGCCACCCGGCCCGTGGACCGGCCCGGGCCGCTACTGTGTGGGACCGGAACCGGCCCGGTTCTCGGGTCCGGGTCGGGCCTATGCCCAGGGGCAGGGCGGGTCCGGGCTCGGGTCTCACATTTGGCGAACCGGCCCGGCCGGGTCGGGCCCGAGCCCGGGCCCGGGCCAAATTATTTTTTTTTTTCATTTTTGGGGTTCCACCCGGGTTGGGCTTGATGGTTAGGATGGGTTTGGGGGGTTTGGGAGGGTGGGGGGTTAGGAAAGCAAAAAAAATTTACCCAAACCGGTGGCCCAGACATGCAAAAATAAGAGTAACATGTTTTGAATAGGAGTAACTTTAGTGTTTGGACAAGTATACCACTACCCAAGCCTCAACAAATTTCATTAATAATTAAAACATAAAAAAAATATTCCGTAAGATTAATTAATTTATAATATAATTGTAAAAAACACAAAAAAATCTCATATAAAATATACTCCGTATTAAATAAAAAAATATTAAAATAAAAAATAAAAAATAAAAAATAAAAAATAATAAAAAAAATATGTAGGCGTCTGCCGCCGCCTCAACAACCTCCCAGCACCACCAGCTCCGGTCACCGAAAAAAATGTCAACATTTTCCCGAAATGCCATCAAGATGTCAGATTTTGAGAAAATTTGGCATTTTCAAAGAGTAAAAATGCGAAAGAATGGCCCAAGTATGAGTTTGAGAGTTTGAATAGACAAAAATATGAGTGGGTTTAAAGAAGACAAAAATGTGATTTAAGTAGTTTCACAAGTTCCGTATCTTGTTCACGCTTGACGCACCAGGCCCATAGCAGCGCATCTATCTCCTCACCATAGCAGCGGTCTTTTTAGCTTCCCTGCGCACAGTGCTTCTCTCACCTCCTTAATTGCGCAGCCGACCTCCGTTACCCCCGCCGATCTACGCCAACCTCGGGTACGCCGCCGACCCCAGATCGCCATCATCTTCGACCTCTTCGCTGACCACCATAGCATCCGTCTGTGCCCCAGTTGTCTCCCTTTCAAACTCCACGTCTGATTTTCTATTTCTTCTCTTTCTGTGTGATCGATAAGGAGTAGGGGCCGCCGGAGTTCGATTTGTGCTCGCCGGAGTTCGATTTGTGCCCGCAGGTGCCAGATCCGCCTTCGTCGGTGGATGACGACTCGATTTGGGGCTTCCACGGTTGGGGCTATGGAGGTTTGCTAGCATGCTGGAGAAAAGTCTATGAGCTGGCCATTGGGGTTGGCCGGTTGAGGGTTGTGCAAAAGGGCTAGGTGAGGCAGGGGAGGGGGTTGGGTGAGGCAGGGGAGGGTGCTGAGTGAGGCAGATGGACTGGGGTGAGGTAGATGGGTTGGGTTGAAGCAGGGGAGGGTGCTAGGTGAGGCAGATGGGTTGGGTTGAAGCAGGGGAGGGTGTTGGGTGAGGCAGATGAGTTGGGGTGAAGAAGGTCAGGGGCTGGGTGAGGCAGGAGCTTGGGTGTGGTGGTTGCAAGCGATGATTGCAAGCGTTGGCCGGAGGTGGTGGCTGGCGTCGTCACAGTGGCGGCATCACTGTGGCGTCGTTACTATGGCGTCGTCACTGTGGCGGCGTCACTATGGCGTTGTCACTGTGGCAGCGTCACTATGACGGTGTCACTATGGTGGTTCTGGTGGCGGTGTAGTTGGCGTGAAAAATTTGACGATGACGACTCTCAGTGACAAAAAAACGAATATAGTGACAAAAAATTATTCCAATGACATCATGTTTTCTTATTCCAAATACATGACTTTGTTAGTCACTTTTTTGTCAATTTTTAAAAGTACTCACATTTCTGGAAAATCAGTTCAATTTAATAATATTAAGGGAATAACCCCTAAAAAAGCCATTTTTATGGCGTTTTCAAAGAAAAATGACAATTTTTACATAAAATGACATTTTTCGCCGATCGGAGGTAACATTGCTGGGTGATGACCGAGGCTGCGGGAAAGACCTGCATAATTTTTTTATATTTTTTAATACAGTTTATCTATTTTTTATTTATTTTTAAAGTTTTTTATTTTTACAAAAATTACTTTTTTAATATTTAATATTTTAATATTGTTGGGATGAACTTAGATTATTTTAAAAATGAACTTAGAATTAACTAGGTTAGGGATATTAAGTGCACAAAATTAAGGTTTACTCCTATGGAAGGAGATTTTAAATTTTACTCCTATTTGTGAAATTATGTTTATGTTTACTCTTATATTAGGCATTTTCTATTTAAAAATCACCTTTTTGAAATACAATCAATCTCAAACAGACAAACACTCTGCAACTATGCTCAAACTTTGCCTACTTCTTTATTTAGAAGTTTATTTCCCTTAAGAGTTTGGCTTAAAAACATACTCTTCCAAGTTTGACCGGCAAAGAAAATAATAAACTAAAAATTGTGTGGCTGAGATTTGTGCAGATGAGAGAGAATGAATTGGAACCATGAATTCTTGAGTTAATGACTCAAATAGGACTAATAGCAAAGTTAATTGCACAAATAGGACTTCCATGTTTCATAGGACTAAAAATGTTATTAGTTGACAAAATTACCCTTAATGAATTTCTGATTCTATTTACAATTGAAAAACAATAAAAAACAACCCAAGCAGATCTGTCGGCTTTTGATGGAAAAAAACCACCCAACTGCCGCCACTGGGAAACAATCTGCCACCAAATAACTGCTGCCATCGCAAAAAAATCCACCACCATCCAACCGCCGCCTCCCTTTCCGGTGCCACCGCTACTGGCCTTTTCGATGCTGCCGCCGTTCTTTCCGATGCCACCACTCCAACCAGCTGTGTCAGTTTTGTAGATGCAAATCTGCCATCTTGTTACCTAAAAAATCATGTTGTATATCAGATTTGCCATAAAAGTGGAACAAATTAAGAATCTTTATGCCATAATATTAATATTAGATTTGCCATAAAAGTGGAAGTATGTTGTAATTGATCTCAAAGTAACAATTTTTCTTCCAAAAAGTTGGCAAAATATGAACCTGACATACAAAAAATTGTAAAAGCGAAATTATCAACAAGATAAAAAATTTAAGCAAAAATAAAAAACTAGACATTATGATTTTTAACGAAATAAAATCGATTTCAAAACTCATAAAAATGGATGACATAAAAAAATCAACAGAAGAAAAAACATGGAAGAAGAAGAAAAAATGGAATGTGTTTTTTCTGCCATAATAAATTACATGAAACTGCCAGAAATGTGGTAAAAACGAACCCAGTGTCCAAAATCGAAAGAAAACAGAGTTTTTATTGAAATCACAAATTTAATGAAATTGAAAATCAGATCTACAAAATAATGTCCAAAAAACAGAAAAAATGATGTGAAAATAAGAAAATTGAATCAAATCAAAAAAATCTTCAAAAAACACAACAAAAGCAGTGATTTGCTTGATTTTTAAATGAAAAACAGAGAAGGAGGGGATGATGAAGAAGAAGGATCAGAAGAGGAGGAGGAGAAGGAGAAGAAACCCAAAAGAAGGATCGGAGGAGGAGGAGGAGGAGGAGGAGGAGGAGGAGGAGGAGAAGGAGGAGAAGGAGGAAGAGGAGGAGAAGAAGAAGAAGGAGGAGGAGGAGGAGGAGGAGGAGGAGGAGGAGGAGGAGGAGGAGGAGGAGGAGAAGAAGAAGAAGGAGGAGAAGCAGAAGGAGAAGAAGGAGAAGGAGAAGGAGGAGGAGAAGAAGGAGGAGAAGGAGAAGGAGGAGGAGGAGGAGGAGAATGTATTGGCGATTCTGGATTGCATAAAAAATTAAATTTAATTGACTAAGTGAATACATATAATGAACCAATTTCAGATCAAATTCTGATAAGAGCATATTTATTTGTGCATCCATTTTATTTAGATAATATGCTCTGACAACCACATCTTCAATGTTTTTCCATATATTCTATAATAAAACTATAAAATAATAACATTTTTACCTAATGCATTTAATGCTTAATTTTAGTAGAAGCTGTTACTTAAAAACACTCATTTCAATTTTTTAAGGCAATAGCTAAAATGCACTTTTTAGA